GTTGTGGAGACAGGTAGGTTGAGCTAGGTCTGAGCTCGACAAGAGATAGAAATAAAAAGAATAAATGGTAATTAAATTATAAATATTTTATTAAAGCTAATCATCTGATAATTTTTAGAATTTATTATATGTATATTTTATAACTTAATAATAACAATTCTTATAACAAATGCAAGTAAATAATAACCATATCGATCTGATATTATTTATTAATTCTCAAAAAAGAATGATTTGTTTTTAATCCTTTGCCAATGAGTTCTGAAGGTAAGTGGTATTATTTTTATTCATGTGTAAATTTGGAGCATTAAAAACATTCTAATTTAAAGATATCAACTAGACGAGTTGAGGGATGGTAGTAGAAGTCAATAACAAGACAACAAGATATTCCATATATCGTGGAAGCTATATTAGATTTTCGTTTTTACTTTAAACAAAAATATGGAGCTTCCCTATAATTTTACTTGAATATAATTAGTGATGATGGCCACAGTTTAGGCAATTTTAGATTAGTTAATTTCGCCCACGAAAATTTTCTGGTGAAACTTAAAAATTGCGATTCTAAACTGCAGGCGAAAATCAAACGGATAATTGGAAATTTCTCTTGGAAAGTGTAAACAAATGAAAAATGAATTGTTACATCTTAAATGCTCAGGCTATAAAATGTCTCGGCTCATCCGCGATTTCTACTGTCCGTTATTCCTGGCTTATTAAAGAAGCAACACTTTGATTATTGAAAAATAGATCACAACCCCAAAGCCAATGTATCAAATAATCGCCGAATGGACGAAGAAATATAGGAGTTATAGGAATGTTCATGGTAACGTTTGTTACAACAATCTCATTTGGGATTGGTATGTCATTTGGAGGTAGGGTTCCTAACAGTAATCCTAAATCCTTATTCAAATATTCGTAAATCCAAAATTACGAATTTCGAATATTCGTAATCTATAATAGTAACTGTTTCAGATATTCGTAGTCGCTTCAAATATTCAAATATTCCTAATTATTTAAGATAATTGTAATCATTTAAAGGCTTATGTTCATTTCAAATTACTTCAAACACTTGTAATTTTGATAAATTTTTGTAAATAACAGTATATCTACCAAATTATATTTCTATAAAAGAAAAAAACCACATTCCATTTGGGCTTTGAGAAGACAATTTTGCTTGAACCTGGCGTATTCCTACACTTCCATTGGTCACTAAATGAAGCTCTCACGTGGCCTACATTTCTTATCATATTTTTTTTGGCTAGTGGTTGACGAATTATTCGGTGGTAATGGCAAAATAAATGAGAATTGGTTGTTAGATATCCTGCATATTCTTCACAACCATAAGTTGGCTCATATTCTAATGTTAAATCAACTAAACCACTCATACTTGAAAATTAAGGAATTAAATATTATTTATTAAATATTTGTAATTGTAACAATGTCTCGAAACAAAATACAAGTATCCTGAATATTTTTCTTCATAGCTATAAGTTGGCTCATATTCTAATGTTAAATCAGTTAAACCACTCATACTTGAAAATTAAGGAATTAAATATTATTTATCAAATATTTGTAATTGTAACAATGTCCCGAAACAAAATATAAGTATCCTGCATATTCTTCGTAACCATAAGTCGGCTCATATTCTAATGTTAAATCAGTTAAACCACTCACACTTGAAATTAAGGAATTTATTAAATATTATCAAAATATTTGTAATTGTAACAAGTAATAATTATAATTGCGAATATCCAAAATAATTACGAATATTCGAAATAGTTACAAAATAAATTGTATATTAATATATTCAAATGTCTTGAATAAATTTGATTTTCGAATATTCGTAAAAAAATTTATTTTCGGTTAGGAACACTATTTGGAGGTCAGTGAAGTATATTCTCACGCTCATCTACCCAGCGGATTCAATTCTTGGAATGATATCGCTGCCGAATATGGTTTATTGTTGATAAAAAAAAAAAGGAACCCCGTGAATCTCATTGTCGTTGTGTTAGAAGTATCGTTTGTAAAATCTGTTGTTTTTTCATTGTTTTAGGTACACAACAGATAACACACACGAAAGTTGAGTAAATTTTTTTAATTCAGATCACATAGATCAATTAACTGACTGTCTGTCACTTGAATACTATGCTTTACTCTATCAAAAGTTAGTTCTTATCTTGAACTTGAATATTTCTTTAATATTTGGATAGAACTTTTCTTTGACGGTAAAAAGATCAAAGTCTAAAAAAAATTTGTGAACAACAAGAAACAGGAAATCATGTGTATATAAAGTGATTGACATACACAATCTTTACCTTTAACTTCCTTTTTTGCCTCTTTTAATCAAAACCTTTTATTTAAAACGATATTCATTATATTCCAAGCACACGAAGTCTCGAAAGTTTGATCCAGCCAAGAATTAAAAAAGTAAATGAATAAAGTTTCTTTTATGGAGTATTTGATTCAGCTACTTTAGGTGCATATATAGAAAAAACAGTTAGAGGTTCAGTTTGTGTCAATGATACAGACCATGGAAATTTGTAAAACAAGGAGAAGGATTAGATGGTTGAGTAGTGCTAATGAAGTCACTTAAATTTTCTCGATTGAGGTTTATGCTTATTCCTGAAGAACAACTCATACATGGACTCCACCATCAAATTTACCAAATGTCTTTGGAAAATTCACGAGTACTGAGGTTAAGCTTCTTGCTCAAAAAGAAGAAATCAAATGCGCAGATTTACTCTATAATGAAATTATATTAATCATATACCATCTTTAATTCAATATGAGCTCAATTCAGAAGTGACACCTATCTCTACCTTAGTAGCTGCAAAAATTCGTGACTATATTCTTGTTCAAAAACACATTGTCTATACTCTGACACAAGATTAACTTCAAATCTCTTTGAATGATCAAGTAATCTTTTGATTATTCATGTGGTGGACTGAAGAACATCAATTAGCAATCAAAATCTGGTCCTATATTCATGATTTCTCCAATTGAATGATTACTTCTCCACAACAAAGATTTTATAAATATTTGATTGAAAAAGATAAAGAAAAGGCTACCTAGAAGCATTTTTAAAAAAATAACTATAAGCGGTGGCTATCATTTCTTCAATGATCATATTTATTTCAACCAGCAAATTATTTTATTGATAAAGTTGCTTTCTCGCAAAATATTCCTTAATTCAAACTGTTTGTATTCTAACCATCCTTTCTCTTCAACCTTTCCCAAAGTTTTTGATCAAGTTTATGAGCTCTCTCTTTCTCAATGCTTTTCTTGGCTACTTTTTAATCATCCTATTTCAGATTTAATTTGACCTTCTCATAGTTTTTTAAACTTTCATGAACTTGATAATTAGTGTCATTATAAGATTTTCCAACCATTTAATTCTTGCTAATAATATCATCCAAATTTTTTTTAACTCATTTCCAAAATAAGCTGTTGAATGTGGCCTCTATTTTTCCCTGCCTCTCCAATAGCAAATTTTTCAATTAGTAATTAATTTCCATAGGTAAACCATCCTGCCTGTATCACTGAAATCTAGCTACATTTCAGAAGATTCAAGTTTATGCTTTTCAAACTTCTTATTTTTTTTCTCTTGATTATCTTCACTTATATTATTATTCATAATAAATATTTTTACAATTACTTTGTGATTTTGCATTTATAATTTCATATTAGTAAGTAAAATATATACACATTATAGGTTAATTTACTAAATTTTGAACTCTAAAATCCTTTCACTTTGTTTTGCTGCAGCATGCCCCATATTAATATCAACAATTGGTTCAATCCAGAAGATTAATTATTAATAAATGTTTGACAATGATATTTACATAAAATTTTTTGTCCTCAATATGAGTTTCTGTGTCATTTGTATTATGTTGATGGTAATATTAACTCTCCTCAATTGAAAAGAAAAACATCAACTTCAAATGCATTTTGTTTTTCGCTTGCATGCAAATATCATCATAATTATTGATATCATTATAGTCATTATTTAAACTTGTAGTAAAATTCAGAGTGGAGTTGATGCATGTTGTTCTATTTGTTTTGAGCCACTGATATTGATTCTGGTATTTGTGGTGGCATTTCTAACTGTTCTTCTTGATGATAATAATTTGATTTGGTTCATTGAAATAATCGAATTTATATTATTATTGTTATTTGTATTATAATCTGAGTGATCAAATTGTTAAGATAATCTGTATTATCATCATTTAGATATTCGATCATTATTTTTATAATTTAAAATTTCATAATTAAAAGATTCTTTAGTTTCTTCATCAAATTCTTTTTCGATGTTTATGTTGTTATGGGATATTGAAGAAGATGATGAAGTATTACAAGGTGTAAAATAGTCATGATTCGAACTCAATTATTTTATGGTATTTCCATTTTTAATTTTTTATGAATTTATAGTAAAATTTATTCTAAAAAGTTTATTACAAAGTTATCATTATTATTATTAATGAGTAATAAATAATAAGAATAATAAATGATTTTCAATTAAATAATAATTCCAAGATATTTAAATAAAATTGACTAAGTGATTAATAATCGATTGGGTAAATGCTTGGATCAAGTGCAAAATATATAAATATATATAAATAAGTAAATATTAAAAAATTGGTATATAATTATTAATTCTTTCCTTTTGCCCTTGACTAATACATTCAGCAATCCACACAATATTCCTAATCTCTTGTTCTTTTAATTTTAAAAATGCATAAAAAATAGCATAGTGAAATTGCTGTTGAAATGTAAGTTTGTTAAGATGAACTTCATATTCAAAAAATTGATCATCCAAGGTCTTGGCTTCACTTGTAGCCTCACCACCAAATGAAGTCAAAGTCATGTCAAAAAATGAGCGATATTCCTACATTATTTTATTAATTCATTTGATAATTAATTTGTTATCATGACTATCAACTAATCAATATTAATGAATTATTTCAATTCAATGGTTTCTTGATATACATACAGTCCAAGCTTCTACAGCACTTCTAACTTGTTCAACATCATCAGCTTTTCTAAGTCTTTCATGACCAGCAGGGTATAATTTTCCAAAACTTGGGAGCAATTTAACCCGATCATCTTTTGACAATTCTGTTCCAAAAGAATTTATGGTAATGTTAATTGCACGTCTATCTGCTTCAAACTACAAAATATAAATATAAAATTAATATAAAATGCTCATTATAAATCAAAATAAAACCAAAAAATATTATTATTATCATCATCTTGCCTCTAAAATTTCACTCATTATTTGTCCAGTAACACCACCAAGTTCTTCCTTACAATATCTATAAAAATCTTCAAGGTATGCCTTGTAAAGTGCATTACGAATAATTTCAATATTCAATTCATCAAGATCGTCAGCAGAAATACAATTTTCAAAATAAGGTGCTATTAAAATAATATTAAATTTTAATATAATAATAATAATAATAATAATAATAAATGTTAAAATAAAATATATTTGATACCAAGTGGTGTTTCAATCAACACAGTATTATACAATTCATCAGTATTTGTGGCAACACATAACGCGGGCATTGAATCAAATATACCAAGTGGATGACACCTTTCTAATAACTCATTGGTGTCTCTTTCATGCAAAGTTCCTGTTATAAGAAGTATCACATTATCAATCATATAAGCATACCTAATTAAAAAGAATTAATCAATTAACTAGTTAATTATAAAATTCATAAAATAAATCCACAAATTTATTATTATTATTACTTACGTCAAGTAATCCAAAAATTTAGACAATTTCTCTGACGCATTGGCACGTACATACTTAAACTCATCAATTAATTTTTGTGTTGCTTTTTCATGAATTGTTGAAGTTGCTATGGGCGATGGCTCATTTGCCAAAAAATTGCTGTAATCAGTGGCACTTAATTGAAGTTTTAAATCTATTTGTAAAAAATAAAATCAAAATTTAAAACCTTATTGTGTTGTTGTTTATAATGCCTAATTGTCACTCACCATCTAAAGTTTCGCATTGAGTCAAATTCAAGTAGTGTGTAGAATTGAGAATGCCACTTTTATAACCTCTCACAATACCTTCCGTATAACCATCATCGACATTAAAGTACAAGGCTTCCATTTTTTACAATTATTGAAATTTAACAATTTAACAATTAATACAATGTAATACAATGAATGTAATAGTAGATTATATTTTATTCCAAGATTAAAAATCGCACCAAATAAAGAAAGTCACAATCAACAAAAAAATCACAAGATTTGACCCACACTGCGATTGGTTGATTAGGGGATATTTTTTCCCAAAGCGTTTTTCACGAACATTGCGAGAATTAGAGCTTGCAAAATCCTTAGTATTAGTATTAGGATATTAATATCTGCGGGTATAATTTTGATAAATGGATAGGATATCAGGATATAATAGCAATAGCAATAGTTTTGACAAACGGATAGGATATCCAGGTATGCAGAACCCTATTATTATTATTATTATGATCCAAGCTCATATCTAGTTTTGCTATTATTATATCAACGTGACTCAGTCATTCGTAAAAAGAATATTATTTTCCATGTCATATTGATTTTAATTCTTCAGACTTGAAAAATTTTCCTGTATATTTCAATTCATCAGTGGTCGGGTGTGAGATGCCCTAATTAAATCAAAATTAGGTGAACACAATAAATTTTTTTCTAAAAGAATAAAAATATATATATAAAAACTATATAAATAAAAATTGTATCAGAGCCTTCAATAAAGAGATACAAACATGAAACCAAGGAAATTATAGTAAATAGATTAAGCTTTTTAAATCATAGAGTTTTTTTTCTTATCAAATAAAAATGAATTTTTTTTTATATATAGTAAAGACATTGAAAAAAAATTGCTATATAATAGATAAACTTTATAACTAAATGAGATGGGGCAAAAGGCTCTCTGTAACTTTATTATAGAAGACTTAAACAATAAAACCATAAAAGTTTCATTCAATTTTATTATGGAAAAAAAAAAAGTTATCATGGTTTAAAGTTATTCGATTTATTATTAAATTTTACCATAAAAATTTCCATCATAACTGATAAACTGATATAACTTCTTTTCAAAAAAAAAAACATATTGATCGAATTTTGTTGTCAACAATTACATGTGTTGGAATATATTAATTAATATGATAAAGATACTAAAAAATGATGATCAACAGCCTATCCACAATCGATGACAATAAGAAATTACTTTTGCCATTCTTTCCACTTTTTGAATAGATAAGCGTAATCTCTTCTTTCCATAAATCCAATCAAGGGTTGAAAATATTCTTTCGCACAAGGCACTATGTGGAGTTATGTTGATCATCATTAGTGCTTGTATCCACCAAATTTTTGGCGTATCGTTTGCAGGACCATTTCGTATAGAGGTAATTTCAACTTATATTTTCTGATTTGTGAAAATAAGACTTCAACAGATCTTTATCATTCTCAAAATTTTCTCAAATTTCTCTTGCGGCGTTTGGTGTTGGCCTGCTTTGATTCCTGTAACTATTGTATTTAAAAATAACACTAACTTCGATAACCCGGATGTAAAAAATAAGCCAAATACTAATATCAAATTCTTCCACCTTTTATTAAAAGCATTGATTGCATGTTTTTTGAATCCAATCATTCCACCGTTATTTATATGTTTAATTTTGTAAGCTAGTCTTACTAACTGAATAAAATATCTGCTAAAGTTGTTGTCTCTCCCTCAAGCACAGTGATGGTGATCTTTGTTTGAGATAAAATAAAGACCTCTTCAAAAAAAATCGGACTCTCTTAAATAAATACCTTTTAACTGTTTTATTTCAGATTTTATTATTATTATTAATTGTTACCTATATAGTTTTAGGAAACAATATCAACTAACATTCCTTTTATTATTAAAAAACACAAAAATTTTATCACATTTTCCGATGCTTTTCGTATTCGTACTTGTGACTTTGAGAGTAGATGTCCATCTTGTCTTAACGAATGATTTCAATCTCCCTTCTTGAATCATGTTAACATCAGTTGCTCGTTATAATAAAAAATGTGATTTTTAAAAAATTTACAATATTGAAACATATAAATAGCCTTTCCATGATATATTAAATGTACATGTTTTTGACAATATATATTAAATTTTGAATTAATAAAAATCACTAACAACTTTTTTTAGCAAGTTTTACGTTAGAGTCATTATCACTATTACTATTGCCACGAATATGTTTACACAAACTTTATTTAAAATCGAGATAATCTCATTGGCTAAAAATTGTCCCACCTTTAAGGTACAGTTCACTCTCTCTATAACGAACCCTCTGTCCCTATATGTAATTTCTCTGCTTTTGGTCGTTATAAAGAGAGAAATTAATTATAAAAATTGAAACGGGGACAAAAGGAAAGTTCGTTATAGAGAAATTTTACTTAGTGGTTGTTATAGAGAGAGTAGACTGTAATATAAATATTCTTTTTTTTTTTCACTAGTCATAATAAATTAAAAGTGAATTTGATGATGTCCAACCATCTAATCCTTAAAAAAAATAATATTAATCCCGTGTAAGTTAAAAAAAATATAATCCATAGAATTATTTACTTTTGCACTGGAAAGTATTTGTCGTGGCGGTGGATTGTAATTAGGTCTTGATTCATAAAGACATTCTCTCTAAAAAAAAAGGATTATTGATTATACTCCACCACAAACAAAAACTCTAACAAGTGCTTTACTAATAGATTCAATCTTTTTATTTAGTTAACTATCATTGTTATCTGTCGATATAAAATTTTTAACTTCATCTGGACACGACAAACAAACATTTGACAAGTGAGCTTGCAGTTCATATACATCGTTTCTATCCCAAAAAATTTTACGGAAATTACATTCGGCAGTATAATGACTTTGAGAATTGACACGAGATCTTTTTAAAAAATTCCAAATTTCTTCCTTCCCTATTCGGGAAATATTCGAGATCATTATTATAGATGCTATTATTATTAACACCATCAATACAATTATTGTAATTACAATTACAGTCACTATGGCTATTAGATAATTCGTAAATCAGCATACATGAATGAACGAACGAATATTAAAAAAATTTCAAATTCATTTTATAAGAATAGTTGAAAACTTCAACCACGAACAGAGGATGGATCTCGAAATAGTTGGTGTAGTTGCGGGTATTTGAAAAGATTGCTGACAATAACCGACCATTTTAAGAGTTTAGAAAAGTGTCTATCCATTGAAATATCGCGTCAATTTGGTATAAGGAACAAATAATAAATACTGTATGTTTTTTTCCACGATTTCGTCATCATATTTTTTTTTCATCATAAAGTAAATTGTCAAAATTAAGTTTGCGATCCTTTTTTAAAGCTTCTATATATATTTTTTTAAAAAAAGCGAGAACAATCCAGGAAGAACAATTAATTAGGCAAAAACAAACATTTTGTTATTTACTTTTTTTAAAAAGGCTTTTAATTTTAATAAAAAAATTGTCAAATTTAAAAGAATCTGAACATGGTCAAATCATTAGACTTTATAAAGACGGATGCACAATTCTAAAACACTGGTCTTGCTAGAACTACTGTAGTTAGAATGACAAAAGGCTTTCAGAAAGAGATTTGGCTGAAGAGGAGGACGTTTGATTGTTGATCAAAGAAACAAATAAAAATAGTTATTAAAAATAATGAAATAATGGGCAGCCAACAAAACCATTGTCTTTATTTTGAATATTTTAGAGATCAAAAAAATTTTTGGTCAAAATTTTTTGTTATTTTCTTGGACATTACAGAAACTTGAACCTAAGCCACGAAATGTTATATTTTGTTATGTATATTCTGCGGAATTATTTAACCGAACTTCTGCAAACTTCATGTTCCTTTTGCATACAAGCGACTTGGACTTGAAAGAAATTCGATATAGTCCAGTTTGGATGATAGTAACATCGTTGTAAACAGCGTTTTTCTCTTTCTTCTAGTTATTATGACAAAAAAGAATATATGAGAAATTTATATAATTTTTTTTGATCTTTCATCATATAACAGGATCTGATCTGTTGCAATTATTAATTATTTATATAAATTGTAAAGTACGACTATACCAACTGTTGGAAGTTCCTCCTATTTTGTTTGGGAGTATTAGTCTTTTTTAACTCATAATAACATCCCTTGTATTATTTATAATAATATATATGCAGATGGGTTCGGTAATAGTAACTGATTTATTATTAGGCGGAATTGGTCATGTTAATAATGGACCCAAAGAAACATTCTGATAATTAGAAACCACATTGTCAAAGATAGAAGAAACATTTACTAAAAGAAAAAATATTGATAAATCAACTTGTTTGTATTTTTTAATATCATTCATTTGAAATTAATAACAATGATTTTATATTTATGAATAAATATGTAGCAAATAATATTCGACAATTAGTAAGATGATTGTGATCGAGCTTTCTAATTACGATAAATCACACACTGTTAAAACCAAAAATAGATCCTAAAAAAAAAGACAATATTCTTAAACATGTTCAACGTTTAAAAACAACAAGAATTTATTAATTTATTATTATTAATTAACTTAATTGTAATTATTAATATTATGCTATTTATACCATTTTTTAAAAAATATTATAAAATAAATTAATCTATATTTTATGAAATTAAATTACTATCTATTAATCGTTCATCTCATTCACATACTACTTACCACATCCATTCTTCCTATACCTTTGCTTTAAAACAATTTTCCCATTCTCTCCACAACTTTATTAAAACCAATCTGTGCACATTTACGTCCTGCTAATTCACACGCAAATTTTAAACAAACATCAGGTGATAATTCTTGAGTTAATCCATAGATCACCCCAGCAATAAATGTATCACCTGCTCCTACAGAATCAACAATATTGGGTATTGGAAAAGCAGGAGAATTATACAGCATTTGTGTTGGATTGTGATAACACATGGCACCTGAACTTCCCCATGTACAAAACAAATATGCGCTAAATTGAGTTGGATTGAATTAGAATATCTATTTTTTAATTAATCACACACAAATACAAATATTCATATTAAATGAACAAATACTAACGTATTTTTACAAAATGGTGCCATTATTTGTAAAAAATTTCCTGCGTCATTGTATCCTTTCCCTTCAGCAAAAACTTTTGAAAAAAATAATACATCGGCTCTATGCATCAAGACTTCTAAATTTCTACGATACGGTTTTTCCATTTCTACGCTAACCATAGCTTTAGATCTCCATTCTTTAGTGTCAATATAATCAATCATCTTCGCCTCTTCTTCTGCATTACGTCCTTCAAAATGAATCCAATTAAAAGGTATAATCTTATCGTCATCTTCGACTATTTCTTCGGTACAAATTTTATCAAAATTGTGTTTAAATTCATCAAATATTAATTCATCTATACTATATTATATATCGTAGAATGAGATATTTTAAATGAAAAATATAAATAAAAATATGCAAAATATAAATATAGACGATTACCTATTATAATTTATAATTGTTCTAGAGCCTGTACTATCTGCGTGTATTATATACGCTACTGGCGCATGACTTGCATTATTTCTATATATACACGCAGAAGTTTTTATATTATGGGCTTGAAAATCTTGTATTAGAAATCTAAATATATATTTTTTTTAAACAAATCAATATTTCTAGTATACAAATATATATAATCAAATAAAAATAATAAGCTTCTGAATGAAAGATACACTTACGCAGATGCTTCTTTTGATGCCATAGATGCCATGAAATGGCAACGTGTCAATGGAAATTGTGATAATACTGTTAATGTATTACCAGAATTTCCTCCCCTTCTTTTTTCAACTCTTTGAGCTCTTTGTTTGCCATCTTCAGGAGGAAACTTGTCAACATAAAGAATCGTATCTTCATAAGCTGAACCAATTGCAAATACTTTTAAAGGTATTTGTTGTTTTGATGCTTTATGCTGTTGTTCTTGTTCCTGTTCTAGTTTTTCTTTTTGTTGCTTGTGTTTTTTTTCTTTTCGTTCTTGTTCTTGTTCTTTTTTATCTTGCTTTTGTTGGTTATTTTCGGTCATTATTATTTTTATTGTTGTATATGTTTGAAATTAGATCTAGTTGAAAATTCATTGGTTCACACATTATATCTAATTACTATTGGTTGTCAATATCAAAATTTTCAAATTGCACTTTTAGTTCTTTGGTCAACAAAAACAGCATCAAAACATTGATCAATTGTTTATTAGTAGACGCAAAGCTTTCTTTATGAAAATTGACATTGAATGAAATTTTGAATTGTTGGAGTAATCACCATCAAAAAACCCGAATTCAGCCATGCATCGTAGATTTTGTAAAATTATAAATGTAATAATAATATTCACTCTAACCTTTAAAAATATATTATATAATTAACGGTTAAATCATAAAATCAACTTTGTGAATGCATACAATGAATGATTTAATCACATTAGATCATTTCAAAATCAAAATCAAAATCGTAACATAACTTGGTTCTTTATTATTATAATACAATTTTAAAACCATTATTTTTTACTTAACATCTGACGATCATATGCGCTGATTTTGTTTGATCCCCAAAATTCAGAAACAGTATGATCATAGCATTATGAATAATTTATACTATATAGTAAAAACCCATTAGTTTTGAGGTGGTACCATTGGTTTGACGGGTTGTTGAATAGTAAAATGGATTTTTTAGCGGTGCAAATAATTTTTTTTAGGGTTAATTATCATTCTACTGACCAGTTTATACATTAAAATACTCTCGTGTTTAACATCAAGACACAACAAGACATAAGGTTTGAAAAAAGGCCCAAAAAACCAAATCGGCTGATATGGATACTTTGAAACCGCACATTTAGATTATAATTGAATGGTTGCTTGTGACGTATTTCGTGGTTGCTTTCAAAATATTCATAAACTAGATTGTTATGGTTTCTGAATTTTTCATATAGATTGGCAAATTATGTGGTCTGGCTCGACTAATTAAAGAAAAGAAATATTCATATAAGCAATATCTAAATTCGTCAGAGGAATTCAAAAAGGTAATTGTAATTCATTCAAAATCAATAACTATATTAAATTAACATTGCGAGCTAATAATGCATGACGAAACTTTGACTTTAGTCATCGACATAACTAAAGTATTGACAAAAGGTAGTTTCTCGCCAGGCCATTTTGAAGATTTTACTAAAGTAAAACCATTTGACGGAATTAAAAACACTAGACATAAGTAAAAACGTTTGATATAAGCAGCAATAATGATAATTCCAAATTATGTAAAAATATGTGTCCCGGGATGAATAAAGAATTACTATATCATTGTATGTATATTGCAATGATGCAAGAAGAATAATTATCATGAGATTTGAATTAGAAGTTTCACTTAATTAAGCTACTTATTTTTTCCATGTATTTTCTTTCAAAATAAAATTGTCTCTTCTTTTTTACAAATTAAAACCATTCTTTTATTATTAATTGACTTTACATACATATGAGTTGTATTAAATTGACAATAATGTGCTCAAGCTGTCTTTGATGTTTGAGTTTGAAGCAACATAGGCTGATCAATATTGGTACTTAGAACGATCTTTACATACCACATAAATCAGGTTTTGGTAGATATTTTTGAAAATGTTGAATTTCTTTATTGATAAATCTATCACTAGAGCTTGGTTATGATGAAGTTGTTCTTTAAACCGTTATTCGCGTAAGACTATAATTAAATTCTTGTCATAACGGATTTTTAAAATTTTGCTTCGCATATTAACATTATTAGTATTATAATTAGTAATCTTGCCACAATGAATTTTAAAATAAAATTTTCTTATTATTATGTGTCCCGTTCATCTGCCGTGACAAGGTTTGACTGTATGTAGGATTCTTTGTAAATCCTGTAATAAAAAAAAAGAATCCAACAATCCTTAAAAATTTTTAAGCTCGAAACATTACTGGTGTTATTAATATATAATGCACGTCCGACTGTTAATTAAGAAAAGGTTATTGTAAGGAAAAAGCAAAATTTAGCGAGTTATAATCAAATTAAATGGGTTTTTTTATTAAATTCCCTAGTTTACAATATCATATGAATAATGTGTTGGTTGATGATAATTTAAAACACTATGTTCATTGATTAACTTGTTGAACTGGTGGCATATAAGCAGTATTAGGTTTTTTATAATAGCTAATATACCAACAAATAAGCCCAGCAACTATAAATCCAATACTTATAACTGATTTTATATAATTCTCTATACGCGTTGCATTCTTTTGACAATCCACCATTAGATTATCATACTCTGGATTGTCTGTTACGTTTATAGTTAGTTCCATCGCATTTCCAATAATTATAAATATAGCACTAAGCATAAATATAACTGTTAGTCCCCACCAAACATTAAATGGTCGATCAATTTTTGGTTCTTTATATTTAAGCCACTGTTTATTAAATATAAATAAATGTTAGATTGGTTGGTTATATACATATACTGTATATATTTTATTTATTTACTTACCAATAAGCCAACACTAGCAAGAAAGTAAAAAATCCACACAACATATGTGCCAAAGTCTGATAGCACTTTAAATGAATCTGAAGAGAATGCGCCACCAATTGTGATGAACACTATTATGCACCATAAATATTGCACTATAAGAGCATTATAAGGCGTGAAATATTCATTATGCCATCTTTTTAAACCATCAGAATAAAATGGTATAAGATTATCTTTTGCAGCAGCTACAATAACACGAGAACCACTACACATACAAACAAAAATATTATGTTAAATTCAAAACAAAATACACTATTATTTTTCTTTTCTGTTGCTTATTCTAACCTCCATGTCATAGAGGATGCTGCACCGAAAGCCGATAGAGAAACAAAAAAAGCCAATGCTCTTGCAAATTTTTCACCGCCTATTTTTTTAGCAAAAAAAGCCGCTATCACTTCATTGAAATCTTTTCCAGGTTTATTTATATCATCCGAGCTCACGACTGTGATGAAGGCAACATTTGTAAGAGTATCTATAAATAAATAACTAATTAATCAAAAACATATATATAATAATAATAATAATAATATATATATATAATATGTATTTACATACACAGTATAGTTACAACAATAACACTAAGACTGTTACTGTACACTAAATTTTTTTTAGGATTTTTAAATTCATCCAAAGAATCTATTTGATTAATTAATATATATATATATATATATATAATGATAAGTTGGAAAAATTTCGATTAAATAAAATATTCAGATAATTTAATGATATTACTGACAGTTCAAATTATTCCAACCCTCATATGCAAAGAAAATCTTTTTTTTACGCCAAAAGAGAAGATAAAAAATAAATAAATCAGATATCAGGACTCTTTTAATTGAAGTTAACTAAATTAATGGTTGATATAAATAACATACTGAAATTAAAGCACTAGCAAGATTTGGAGGTGCGACGGTAGAACCTTTGAATAAATTTATCCAATTAGTATCATTAAGGTCAGTTGTAAAAAGTTTGACAAATCCAATTATTATTATGACAGTTAGGGTGGTCATTTTAACTGTAGCCAATGCTTGGTTTATTATATTTGCACAAACATTTGAACGCATGTGATAGCATGTAATAAGTGACAAAGATGTTATTCCAACCGATTTTAATAGCCTATTTATAATGTGATAATTAAATTTATTGTTTATGTATATGAGAAATAATTCTTTAACATTGAGAATGATTTTTTTCAATACCAAAATTCCATATTCCAGCCATTATTTGGATGTAATTGTTGATAAAATCGTATTGAATCATCACAGTATTTTGCTTTATTTTCTGTTATATCATTCTCATCAGGATGTGGTAAAATAGCAAATAAAAAATATTGTGATAATGCTTGTAATACCGCTGCTATAGTTGCAGGCCTTATTGCACTAAATAATATTAATAAAAAATTCATAATAAATAAAAACTACATAATATAATACACATACACACTTGATAGTTATATCATGACTGAATATTTTTAAATTTACCAAATCCATACGAAACTAAAAACGTAGCTCATAAGCATTTGGGGAACAGGGAATGCCCTTTTAAAAAAGGCAACTTCACCGCCACTTTCTAATGTTATAGTTCCAAACTTTTCAATTAAATTGAATAAATACATTTGAATTATTGTCATTATAATGATATAAAGAAATTAACTTTCTATTTATATATCAATTTTTATTTATTTACCTCAACGTATGTAAGTGATCCACAAAAACTTATTAACCCACCCAACATCCATAAAATCAATGCCGCACCAGGTGAACCAACCTAAAAAAAAAAAAATATTTAAATATGTTGCTTAGAAAAATTAAATGGTTATCTCATTTATATGAGTATATGACATACTGTTTGCCAAACGATTCCTGGTGTGGTAAAAATTCCCTAAAATTCCAATGTATATATATATATATATATATATAAAATAAATGCTATGCCATAAAAAGACTAAAAAATTAAAATGACACTAATACTAACTGATCCTATCACGTTATTTACATTTCCGGCAAAACCAGCAAATGTATTTAATATTCTATTATCCTCTTCTAGTATACTGGGAGGTATTGGTTCTGATTGCGATGATGATGATGATATTGATGATATTCTATCGTCAACACTCATAATTCAATATTTTTGAAATAGTTATTTTAAATTATCATCAAAATACTGTAATAATAATATATATTTTTTGCTATTACTATTATACTACTATTTGTTATTTAGTTTCAAAGAATTAAAATTTATCAGAGAATTTAAAAAAAACTTACAAACTGACACATTTTATTGACCTTGAATCTTTTATACAATGTTTCTTGTATTAGTTTTATTTATTTATATTTATTTTGTCCGGTGTAACAATCAAAAAAGTAGGGTTGACCCCATTATTGGTGTAACGTTTTAACTAACAATGGACAATGATTTTCTGTGCAGGCAGGAGAATTATAAAATTGGTTAAGTGCTGAGTATTTTCCCAGACTGTCGCGATTTTTTTTTAAATAATATAAACATAATTGACAGAAATAATATTTTAATTGATGATACGTGATGAGATCTGGATTTTTATAACTAATCTACACAAAAATTGTACACATGTAAAATCGATAAATCGGCCATTTATTTTATATTATCAAGTACTTTAAACAACCAATTGCTGCGTCCGATTTATGCATGTTTTTAATCTCAAAAAAAAAAAAAAAAAAAAACTATCTAAAAAATTATAGTTTGTACGATGGCAGATTTGGTAGTAGAATATCCTAATACTAAGGATTTTACAATCCAAGCTCTAAATGGGAGATATATTTTAATGGAAAATAATATATACAGAAGGGTCAACACAAAATTTTAAAAATTATAAAATTTGTTATATATATAATTCATAAAACGATTTCTATTGTCTAATGGAGCTTTACATAAATTATAGTAGAATACAGAATATCTGCTGCACCACACACAAGTTTTTCTCACGCTTATTCAGGGAGATGCCCACCAAGCTTAACCTTCCTATCGGTAAAGCAAGGTTATTTGTTGCGATATAGATCGTTCTATTACAATTATTTACAGATTTACTTCTTGATGTACTTTTACTAATATTAGATTCATCTTTTTCACCCAAACCAGACTCAAATAGATCCCAAGCTAAATTCACTCTAAAATTCTTGTGACCCAAATTTTTGTCACAGTTTTTATATATTAAATAACAATTGACGATTGTGATGTTTAAGAACATTAGCACCCAATTTCTTCTAGCTGTCAATTTAATAGCATAAGAACCACATAGTTGGTCAGTGATATCTACATCACTCATGATTATTGTAATCATCTGTAACTTTAGGATGGGCAAGGTTTTTTACTGCATCTCCAAATATTTGTTTAACTTTGGTTACATTGGCACTTGTAGTTTTTAGGCAACGACGTTATTTATCTATTCTATTTTCTGGACCAGCAATCTCATAAATCATAAACAATATTGTGTCTCGATCTAATCTTTTACCAGTTTTCGGAATATTTGGAAATTTGGATGTATTTTTATGCGCCAAATTTTTTTCACGTAAACTTATACTACCAAAATAGTTGTCCATATAAATGTTAAAAGATTTGATCCTGGTATATCTTGAACAAATGATTCCTTTTTTGTTCTTGATGTGTATATAAAATAATATGTATACCCTGCATTGCACATTGCACGCAAATACTTATACCTTTCGGGAAGTCTTTTATATACCACAAAATCTAATAATCATCTCATTGTTTGATAAATTCAAAGAAGGAAGATAATACTTTGTGCGACTATTTAAAATACATGACGCAAGCGAGTATTTTCTTGAATGTTGGATCCGAGACATGAAAAAATCTTTTTATTTGCTCAAATTTGGCTAAAGACATGTAATTGGTAATTTTATGTGATGGATATTTATCAGGCGTTTCCCCATCTGATTTTAAGATTAATATATTCAGGAATTTTTTTCATTAGCATAGTGAAGTTTGCTGTTACACGAAATGTTATACAGAACCCATTGCTCCTGAAACTTCATCAGTATATAGTTGTTACCTCTCTAAATTGGAGATCAAAGTTCAGATCCAATTCAAATCTAGTCTATTGCCAGAATGTTTGCCGTGATAAAAAATTAGTGTAATATTGCAAATTTACATTATGCTGCATAAAAGATTCGTGTTACACGAATAGTATTGAGAATATCAATCAACATTAAAATATAAACTAATACTAAACAATGAATATCAATTTCCGAATGCAATACTATTCTAGATTCATGTAAAGAACTTTCATGTGCAAATTTATTAAGATCAACTACTATCATTCCTTCTGCCTCTTCCTTTTTCTCCAACTTCTCTAATTTGATTTTCATTTATATCCTCACTATTTGGTTTTCTCCTTTCTGACGATTATTATCGTTGTTTTCTTCAATATTATCATCATCATTTATTTAATTATCATTAAATATAGTCGATAATATGGGATACAAAGTGAACATTATACTACAAAGGATTTCAGGGATCAAATTTAGCAAATTATTTAAAATCTCAGGGACATCAGCCATACCGTTTGCAGACTTAATAAGAGTAGTATATGAAATACGGTTTGTATATTTATTTATATCCATTGTATATACCTTTATGGTAAATTTATAGTTTGTTTTTAATTTTTCGGAGTTATCGACTTTCAAGTCATTAATTAAAAAGAGAAATTCCTGATGAACTTCACAAGAATTGTTACTTCTTCATGTAGTAGCAAGATCATATTTAAGGATAGGGGCTAGTGTAACATACATATGAATTTCATGGTCAAAATTTATGTGAATTGCAATTCACATATGTCCACCAGCAAAAAAAGGGGTCTGAGACTATTAAATTGTTCGGTGTAAACAAAATGGTTACACTTATGTTTTTGATATGTAAAGCTAACCTTCCTTATGTCTCTTTATTGTATTAGGTAAACGTGGTTTCCCATTATAATACTTATGATATAGATATACATTATGCAAAAAACTCAATTTTGGCCAAGGGTCCTCAGTCCACCATATTGCTGGTGGACATCCCCATATGTGAAATTCAAATTAACCAATCAGAATTTCATATCCAAACTATAAATTTCAATTAAATTAGAAATAATGGTAATGGTAATGGTTTGATTTTGGCTATTATTAAAAAATAATTTGGGCAGTAACGAAAAATGAGACTTTGCCTTAAACAATTAGATTGATTATTATTTTGCAATTAGTGTTCCGAGGTAAAGGATGCTGAAAATGGCGAGATTGATATATATTTAAAAGTTTTTCAAAAGCTATGAATGAAGACCTAAAGAGTATTTTGGTAGTCTGTATTATTCAAAGAATAATTGATAAGCTTATCGAGTTTGAAATCAATAAAAAAGAGCAAATGGATATAGTTGCTAAGCTAAAAAGTTCTTAAATAATCTCTGGAGAATGGCCCCATTTATAACTTTATTACTTTACTATTTTTAAAAATTAAATTTTCAATTTACTCATTGCTTATTTGGCCTCTTCAGATTTATATAATATTAAATTTGGATTTGGTCTTAGGATATACTAAATATGCAGATATGCAAATATAAACAAACAAATAAATAAATATTAAAGTTGAACATTTAATAATTAAAAAAATAAAAATAAATAAATTAAATAAATTACATCACGATATAATGATTCGCATTTCATTCTTAGGAAACATTTTGAATTAATTTTATCATTCCTCATCCATAATTCCCAAAGTAAATGATTTCTTGGTATCATTGCGGAAAGTTGCTCACGTATGATTTTCCATCCAATTCCCGAATAATGTAAATCTAATGATCTTATTAAACGATGAATATGACACATTATCAATGTATGATATAGTTTATCATAAACCTACAAAAAATAATATGTATATAGTAAGAAAAATAATTTGTTTTAATCTACAAAAATTGAATAATTACCGTTTGTAGATCTTTGGCTAGAGTAACACTTCCTTCTAATACATCAATTGGTTGACCTATGGATTTTATTATTGTTTCTTGATGAAATCTAACACCACCAAAATCTCTTATAACAAATCCAAGTAATTGATCGCCAGTTGAATTAAAACGTGCCAAAACATTTTGTGGGTGTGCTTCAAATGCAAAACCATTGTGCATTGCTGTTGGCAAGAAAGCTTTAAACAAAAGATTAGAATATCTAAAAAATCGGATTAATTAAATAAATGATTAATATATATATATATATATATCAAATATATATCGATAAATTTATACCTTTCTAAAAATTTAATACGTTTCTCCTCTGTATTCAATTCAAAAACCTTTTCCACAACAATTTTACCATTTTCATCTTTTTCAGTTAAAGCAGCACAAATAATAATTTTTTCTTTGTCATCAATACTGCTACCACCACTATCATCCGCAGAATCATAGTTACCTATATCCGATCTAATAATACAGCTTAAATGTTTCGCAACGTCAAAATCTTTTTCGTTTGAAACAATACTAGCAATTTCTTTGGAAATTTTTAATATATTTTGGTCGATCTCCAATTTATCAAACACGTTACAAAGACCTACACCAATATGTGTAGTCCAAGGTGAAATTGTACGTAGAGCTGAAGTGACTTTAATTCCTAAAGATAGTTTATAAGAAAACCCCAAAAGTTTTGGAAAAACTACTGTTCTAAGAGAAACTTGACTGATGGCTTGGATCGAGTAAGATGAATCTAGAATAGTAATGTAAGGAAATTTTTCTAGAATGTTTGGTAGTTGTAATTCATGAACTGGTATTAGAATTTGATTTGTTGGAACCACAGGTTTTGGATTCATTATATCATAAAGTTGATTTAAAAATTCTTGAATTGGTCCACATATTGATACCCTATCAATGGGCACAGAGACAAACCGAATCATTGGCCTATCAAAGTTGTAAGTTGATGGTGGAATTGGTGGGATTGGCGGAACTGCCTTTCGTGATTTATGCATCTTTTTTTAAATTTTTTTTATAGGATCTTATAAATATATTACATTTTATTATGTTAATAATAATAGTAATATAATATTAAATAATCAATACCGGGTGAGTTGGATGCCCTTCAATTATACTATGCTCCCATTCCAAACTTGTGGAAAGTAAAGATGGTTTTGGACGTGTACTTTTATATGTATATTCTAATATATTTAAATATATAATAAATAAATATATATTATTATCATCACCAATACTATCATTATTGTTTAAGTGAAAAGATTACAAGTTACACCTTGATATAAAACAGAACTATTTAATTCATCGCAAATCTCATCAACAATCTTATTATTTAAATTTAGCCATATTCCAATCAATTTCATTAAATCTGGTGCCTCGATCTCTTCTGCTAAATATAAAGATTTCAAACAATAGGATAAAAGTGATTTGGGTTGATCATCTCCATAAATATCAACAAATTGAATTTTATAAACAGGGGCTATCATATCCCAAGGATCAATAAATTCCACCTTTGCAATATTATCATCATCATTAACAATTGGTTTATGAGAAACTAAAACTACAATCACGTAATTAATTTTTGCAGTTGCTATGATTGTTGGTGAAGAAGTTGAAGTTGAAGTTGATGATGTTGGTGTTGATGTTGGTGTTGATGTTGGTGTCGACGTTGACGTTGTTGTAGGGAAAGATAATGGTTTCGTTGTTGATGATGGTAAAATAAAAACCATTCTTGAATTTTTTATTTTATTATTTATAAATAACAAGGGAGAATGGTTATGATTATGATATGTAGAAGGAGGAGAAAAAGAAGAATTATTTAATTCAGTATCATCAATGTCATCGTTGTCATTGCTGTTATTAATGTTGTTGTAATAATAAGCATTTGCCAAGCCCTCGTTAATTATACATTTTAAAAGTCTTGAAGTTGTAGCAAAATTTGCTTTTTGTCTTGGATTCATTTTATTAGTAATAATAATATTATTATTACTATTTTATTATTGGTCCTCTCATTTTAATAATGTTAGATTTTTAAATATACATGTAGTATCCCTTAAACGATTTTTAGACAATTGCGACTCAAAAATTATATTTCTTATTTCATAAATGATATTCAAAACCCCATACTTCTATTAAAAAAATTTATTTGGGGGTTACATATAACAGGTAAGAAAATAATATGTGTAAAATGTAAAAATACCCATTTTTTTATTGTGAAAATTTTCTTGCAGATCACGTTTTTTGATATACAAAGTTTATATCTCCTTCACTAAAATTATTAGCTAGTATGTAAACACTACTAATAGAACTTGTTAGGCAGATCAAATTACATAATTTATGTCTAAGAACCATAGGTCTAGTATCAATAATTAAAATTTTCCATATAGTGAACTTTTCAAAAAAAAATTTTTAAAAAAAATACAAATGTTTCTTTACTTATAAAAAACCTTAAATATAATTCCAATATGTACAATTTTTTTAAAATAAATTTTTCAAAATTTATGTTAATTGAAATGTAAAAATATTCGGGTTTATTAGTAGTATTTTAATTTAAAGAGGGATTGAATTTACTCGGAAGATCTACACAAATTTGGAACCAAAAATCCCTGTACATATTAAAATGAAAACTTGTATTGTAAACTGGATTTTTGTTTTTTAAGTAAACTTGTTTATTAAAAATAGTATTTTTACATAGTTTATGGTTTAGACCAAATAATCAATTAGTAAAAACTTTTTCTAATCATAACTATTAAAAAAATTAAAAATCGGGATTTTTTTACAATACACCTTTTTTTCACACTAATTAAACCCTCCCCCAAAATATCAATCAAATAAAATGGTTTATATGCATAAACCATACCTTTTTGTCTATTTAGAAATCAAAAAAAAAATGGGGAACAAATGATAACTTGTTGTTTAGAATGGGTCTACAAAAATTTGAAATTTTAGACCAAATATGGTCTAAATTTTTGTTCGTTTAAGGGATAATCTAATTTGATTAATCTGATTATCTTTTTTTTTAATTAAATAAAAAATTATCCTAGTACAAACTTGTATAAACTATCAAAATAAGATTCTATTACTAATACTAGGTGCGTTCAAAACTGAATAATATATTTTTGTGACATCTCTCACGCCACTGACATCTTTACCATCCGCAGGTCCGGACCAGGTCTGACCAATCAAATTTTATATCACTTATTATATTTGTCATGTGATAATTCTTACTAAGAATCCCCAATATTCGGTATCAGGAAAATACGATACGTGCAATATTTTTATCATAATTCATAACTATATACAGTAGTAATAGTACCAGATCCATTTACCAGTAACACTAATACATCAGTTGAATATTAATGTTAAAAAATTGCCAAAATTTATTTTCTCGACATTTAACAAGAAGAATATTTACAAAAAATATGAATACAACGCGCCCAAAAGTTTTATTAACTCGAATTTTACCACCAGATTCTCAAAAACTTATAGAAAATGCTAGAGACATTGAACTTTATTGCTGGAAAGACGAAGGAGCTATACCACGCAACCAACTTTTAAAGATGGCTAAAGGTTGTTATTTATGAATAAATTGATAATGATAATTCTCGGTAGTAATTCTTTAAAAAAACATTTGCATTAAAGGTGTGGATGGTATTCTTTGTATGTTGACTGAAAAAATTGACAAGGAATTATTAGATGCAGCTGGACATAATTTAAAAGTCATATCTACAATGTCAGGTATGAAAATTTTTTCTTGAGCAAAAAAAGGATAAAACTAAAAGCTAAAAATAACAAAATAAAATAAACAGTGGGTTATGATCACGTGGATATAAGTGAACTCTGTAAAAAAAAAATTCCTCTTGGTTACACTCCAGGAGTTCTCACCGATGCCACTGCAGGTAAATCTTTAAAATGTATTGTATAGATTTTTTGATCATTGATTGACTGTTTGATTAATTTGTAGATATTACGGTTTTGTTGGTATTGGCAGCTGGACGTAGACTTCGTGAGGTATTATTTATTAAAAGGATTATCACTATCATTGTCATCATTATTATTAATGTGATCTTATAGGGTATTCTTGCAATAGAAAATGATCAATGGAATGATTGGAGCCCAACGTGGATGCTTGGTAAAAATTAATTCTTATTTTTTTTTTTTTTTTTTTTAAAAACCAATTAAATTACAATTTACTATTATTGTTATTATTATTATTAGGCACACAATTAACAAACAAGACAATTGGTATAGTTGGTCTTGGTAGAATAGGAACAGCAACAGCGCATAGACTTAAACCGTTCATAGGTACAGACGGTAAAATAATTTATAGTGGTAGAACAAATAAGCCTGAAGCTACTAATTTAGGAGCTGCAAGAGTGGAGTTTGATAAATTGTTGAGCGAATCTGATGTTATATGTGTGTGCTGTTCGTTGAATGAAGAAACAAAAGGAATGTTCAATTATGATGCATTCAAAAAAATGAAAAGAAATATAGTAAGTTAAACAAAAAAGAGTAAACCATATATACATAATCCATTCACCAAGTATATACTTTATGTATTAGATTTTTGTAAATTCTGCCCGTGGTGCAATTGTTAATCAAGAAGATCTTTGTCGAGCATTATCAGATGGGCTTTTGGGATCGGTGGGATTAGACGTGACAACGCCAGAACCATTACCGTCAGATCATCCGCTTTTAAAGTTCAATAATGTCACAGTTGTTCCTCATATTGGCAGTTCGACGTTGGAGACACGTACTTTGATGGGTAATATGGCAGTTGAAAATGTTTTAGCTGGAGTTAGAGGAGAAGTATTACCCAATGCTGTTCGAATGTAGACAGACATATGAATATAAGATTTAATGGGATGTGTACTATTATTTATCTATTTATTTAATCTGAAGATGTAATGATAATATATCGTGATTTCTTTAATCATCTAATATAACTCAAAATCAAATCGAATCAATCTAAATATCCTTCAACATTTGAGAATTTTGAAAACGATTCTTTATAGTTTTTTTGGGTATCTCACCTTGTGTATTCTGTTCCTTCTTACTAATTGACCCATCATCATTATAATAATAATTAGAGAGAACAGAATTTTTAATGTTTGTACATAAATTCAATAATAATAATCATTAATAATAAGATCCAAAATAATTAAATAATAATAATATTTATTATTATTACCTATTAATCTACATTATACATTTTGGTTTTGTTTTTTTTTATTACTAAAATAAATAATAAATAAATAGTAGATAAATAATAAGATAATTTTTGAATTATAATTTTTTTTAGAAAAGAAGTTACATACAAAAAAAGATTTTTATAAACATGTAATTTGAAATATTAAAAAATAAGCGCACAAAAGGTTAAATATATATATATGTATGCATATATTAGTTATTAGTTATAATTAATTGTAATTATAGTAGATATTGTAAATGTTTTAGATGTAAATGTAAATGAGGATGGGATGGGATGAAATGTAATGATGGTGATTTTTGTAGTGATAGATGTAGTAATTGAAGTGATTTGGGTGGTGATGGTCGTAATTATTTCGTAATTATTTTAATAATATTAAAATAATTTTTTTATGTGCAAATGAACTTTTAAATATATTTACAAAATAACACAACAACAACCACTATCATCGTATGTATCCGTATAATCATTATTTCCTGGACCAGATGATGGATTTCTTCCACCAAACATTGGATCTTTATTGTATAGTCTAATATCTTTAACAAGATCATGAAATGCATCATCTACATTGACTCGTTGTTTTGCAGAAGTTTCAATAAATTTACATCCAAAGCTTCGGGCTAAAGCTTCTCCCTCTTTTTAAAAAATAAAATCAATTAAATTAAAAATCATCGATAAAACCAATAAACGGAAAAAAAAAATTTTTCGCGAACCTTGTTGTGAAACTTTTCTTTCATGAACCAAATCGGATTTATTGCCTACTAGAATCATTGGAAAACGATCTTTATCTTTAACCCTAAGAATTTGTTCTTGAAAAATTCTAATTTCATCAAGTGAATTTCGAGATGTGATTGAATAAACGAGAAGAAATCCTTCACCAGTTCGCATATATTGTTCACGCATCGCGCTATTTTTTTAAAAAAAAAAACCCCCCATATAAATAAATATCCATTAAATAGTTTCTTTAATAATTTGTTTATTCGTCTAATGGTTTGCTTGCTGTTTATACCTATATTCCTCTTGTCCTGCAGTGTCCAGTACATCCAATAGTGCTACTTCATTGTCAATAACACATTGTTTACGATATGAATCTAGCAAATAAATAAAATTAATAAGTGAGTCGAACATATATTTTTAAAAATATAATAACGACTATTCTTTTTCTTTTTCTATTATTAAACATACCCTCAATTGTTGGGTCATATTCGTCAACGAAATGTGATTGAATAAATTGAATTGTTAAGGCAGATTTGCCAACACCTATTTGTTTGCCAATTAATTAATTGAAGGGAGAAAAGTAAAAAGTATTCTTTAATAATCTTTTTTATAATAAATTACTGTTTCGTCTTCTATTTCTGTTATTATTATTATTATTTTATTTGGACGACTACCATTGAATGGTAATAATATTAAGAATAAGTTAAAAAGACTTGAGTTTTTTCAAGAAATAAACTTACCACCACCGCCAACAACTACAAGTTTATATTCTCTTAAAAACTGTGCATTTGATGTCATCTTTACAAATTCTTTTTTATTAATTGTGTACTTTAGTGTGTGAATATAGAAAGGGATAAAGTTTTAAAATAAATAAATGATAAATAATTTGTTACAAATCGGAAGGAAATAATGGTGGTGATTAGGGAAAAGAAAGTGTAAGAAAGATGTTAGGTAATGTGTTCAGTGTGTAAGGACAATTTAACAACAATGATAATTATAATAATAATAAATAAGCAATAATATATATTGTTATTTTAAGATAATGTGAATTGTTATAATAGAAGCACTAATTGTAATATTTGGTAATTTATAAACTATAAAAATATATTTTTTTTTTACCACTAAATTTGATTAGCACAAAAAAGTTACTATTATTATTAATTTAAAAAAAAAAATTTTCTTTCATCGTAGATACGAATCTCTCTACATTTTAAAGATTAATGTAATACAAAGCTTCGTGTCTTCAATTTTTCATTCAACAGCAAACTGTTAATATGTATAACCGATATTTGAAGTTACTCTAATTAAATTCTTCTCACTCACTCACTCTGTAAATGGATTTTTGGTCAAAATATCCATAATGATATATGTATTTATGAATAAATAATCTTACCTTGTTTTGTAAATCCGTAAATTAAATTTTCTATTTATAAAGTTTCCCATATAGTAGTAATCGTGTAACAGTAATTGTTGAGATAAGATTTTTTTTGATCGAAGATCTACAATTATACAATTTATATGTAAAATGTCCAGAATTATGGATAACAATAAATTGGAACAACCATTTTTTATTCATCATTTTTATACTGGGCCGGTAACGAGTTTATGTTTTCATAATAATGAAATATTATTATCAGGCCAAGGTCCATATTTAAAAGTATTTTATGTTCCAACCGGTGAATTATTAATTAATTTTGAAGTTTTAAAATATTTTAGAATTCATAAAATTAAACCAGGTAAGCAAAATAGGAATATTTTATTGGTTAATTTTTAATTTTTTAGTTTAATCTAATTTGATTTTTTGAACATTAGTAAAACATACAAAAAAATTTATTGGGCTCATTCAAAGATCAATAACTCAAGAACAAAGATTATTTGCAATTTGTGGATCAAAAACAATTCAAATTATTGAAATTAAATTTTTTTATAATTCGGATAACCCACCAGAATGTAAAATATCACTTATATCCAAATTGTCACCATTAAAAGATTGGATTCATGATATTCAATGGTTATATGATGAAAATGATGAAAGTGATGAAAATGTAAAAATTTAATTATTATTGTTGTTTATCAGTTTGTTTATTATTATTACATTAATTTACTTACATTAATTATTTAAAAAACCCAGAATTTTAAAAATCCAACAGAATTAGCAATGGCCTTTGCTCATAATTTTGTAGAAATATTTGATTATCAAACCAAAATTTGTTTGTATTCTGTTAAATGCGAGGAAACTTCAATTATATATTCTGCAAGATTTTTTGGTGATACTAAAAATGATTTGATTTTGGCTTCTGGTACTGTCTTCAATCAAATTCTTTTATGGAAAATGATGGGTGATAAAAACAAAAATGGAGATTCTTCCATATTCAAAAGACTTATTGGCCATGAAGTAAGTAAGATATTGAAGAAACTAAAAAGAATATCCTATAATAAAATGAGTAATCATATATATATATATATATATATATAGGGAGTAATATTTAGTGTAAGATTCAATAAAGATGGAAAATTCCTATCATCTGTTTCAGATGATAGAACTATTCGTATATGGAAAACTGCAAAGGATGATAAGTAAGTCTTGTGTGTGTGTGTGTGCGCTCTCTTCTTATCGACAAATTTTATTTAAACTCTTCTTGAAAACTGATTAGCTTAATTTAAATATTAGTAATCCTCCATTGGTTCTTTATGGTCATATGGCACGTGTATGGGATTGTTATATATTGGATGACTATTTAATAAGTATTTCTGAGGTAAATAGTAAAATCATTAATAAATGTGTCATTTATCCTTTAAAAAAACTTGGATATTAATTAGTATTTATGTATGAAAGGATTCAACTTGTAGAGTTTGGAAAAACACACTCTACACAATTAATAATAATGATGGTGATTATGAAGACGAAATCAACAACAATGACGACAATAATAATCAGGATGTAAATGATATTGATTGCCTTGCATGTTGGGAAGGACATATTGGTAAAAATATTTGGAGCTTGGCAATCAACCCATCAAATAAAATTGTTGTAAGTTTCTTTACATATTTATGTTTATATATGATTTATGAAATTTTATTAATAGGTTAACTTTTTTTTTCAGGCAACAGGCGGTGGAGATTCTGGTATTAGATTCTGGTCTTTGATGTCAATTACTAATAATAAAATTGGTAAAAACAATATATATATGTATGTCTATATATATTCCTTGATCAATCAATTTAAAAAATTATTTGTTCTCATAGATTCTGAGCAAGACTTGATAAAAATTTCTTTACCAAATATACAAACTTATTCCACTTGTGATGTAAGTTGTTTATTTTGTTATAATCAACCCTTTTTTTAAAAAATATTTACATTTCTATAAATCCTGTAAGTTAGGAAAATGTAGATCGAAATCATCATCAATCAAGAGAATTCTTTCGTAATTTTGTTTTAGTGAACTATTATACGATTGTTATATCAACTAACCATGGGTAAATCTATTCAATGAAAATATAATTTTATAATTTAAATCATATTTAATATATTTATGAATTCATACATTTTTGATTGTTTATTTTAGACATTTATTGAGGCATGATCATGAGTTAAATGAGTGGACATCATTGTTTCATTCTGAAGACTTGCAAAATTATACCATGATGAAAGCCTCAAATTGTGGCAGAGTTTTTTGTTGTGGCAGTATTGATGGCCAAGTATTTGTAATTAGTGTTAATAAAGAATTTAAGGTAAATTAATAGTACTTAGTTACCTTTAATTTTTTATCATTAATCTAATTCTTTTTTTTTAAAAAAATTTATTATATATTAATAAATAATGATGTTGAAAAGACAATTAAAAGAAAATTACATGAGTATAAAGTTTTTGAAATATTTCTAGAAGATACTAATGGTCAGTCAGTTAATCATTATCGGTTAATTAATCATTATAATTTAAAAATTTTTCTCTCGATAATGATTATTTTACATATAAATTGATTCAAATTTATAGATTCCAATGTCTTTTATATAATTTCACATGCTGTTCATAATGATATTATATTATTAAAATTGGATTTAAATCAATCCAACAATGATCAAGTAAATAATTATTCTATTTTTATAGAATTTACAAATTTGTTTTTAAAACTTATATATACAGTATGTATTGATTGATTTTATATTAAATTTCCAAGGAACCAATATTTAAAATAATGTATAGACTATCTGTTCCACCAAGATTTCAACTTAAATCACTATCACTATATTATCATTACAATTTATTAATATGTGGATCTAGAGAAAGCGGTCTTGCAATTTATAGTTTAACTTCTTCTGAGTCATCATCACTACAACGTTTAGAAGATAAAAAAGATGATGATGCAAAAAATATGACTTCTACTACAACAACAATGGAACTATCACCTATAATTTATTTACGTAAAATCCATGGAAAACAAGCTGTTACATCAATCGCAATAAAGATGGAAAAGTTAAAGCAGAGCAATGATACTGATCTTGATGATGATTATGGTTATTTTGAAAATGATAAAGATGATATTGAAAAAATCTTGATGGTTTATACAACTGGTAGAGATGGCTCTTATAATAAATATAGGTTAAGGGGCTTGAATATGCTTGGGATTAAATCTGAAAATATAAATAGTCTTGATGGAAAAGACAATAGCGAATATGGGATACCAAAGAAAAAAAGAATCGGAAATGGTGAATTATTAGTAAAGGATAATAAATTGATTATAGAACAGGTCTATAAGGCAAAAATCACCAAAGGTTGGTTAGAAAAGGTAAATGATAAAAAAACAATTTTTTTTCTTTTCGTTATTTTTTTTTAAAAAAAATTTTAAATAACATATTAAACAATAAATTTAATTTCATAAAAAATTTAAGGTTGTATTTATAGATAATGAATTATTCTTATTAGGATTTTACCGTAAAAGATTCTTCGTCTATAATGAATTTAAAAAATTTGAGGTAAACTTTTCTCTGATAATTTCAAGCAAACTTGTTTTTCAAAATTGACAAATTTCTTATGAAAATGATTTAAATAAAGATATTTTCAGTAGCGTGTGGAGGAGCCCATAGAATATGGCATTTCAAAGCTAACGACAAAAAAATGAATAAAGCAAGTTTTATGTTTATAAGAAAAGAAAATGTAATCATATATTATAGACTTTTTCTTCATGTTATATTAATATATATATTGATTAACACATATGTATGTATTTATATGTATTTAAACAAAGGTTTTTATCTATTCAAGAGAAAGATTAACAACCAATGAAGGATTTAATGAGTGTAAATTACAAGAAGATTTTCATGGTAGAGAATGTAGAATTGTCAAATTTTTACGTGAGAATTTTGTCAATTTACTTTGAGTCTAATTAATTTGTTGACAAAAAAATAATATCAATTAATTCAATGAATTAATGAATTAATTTTTAGCATATCCTATTAAAACGAATTTTATAAAAAACCAGGAAATTTATAATGATCCTATAATTTTTGCTACAGGAGCAGAAGACAGTTTATTACGTTTATATCAATGTAAGATTAAATAGTATATATAAATATATCATACGTTTACACTACATAAATGAATATTTTTGATAAATTTAGACATTCCAAATGAAAAGGATAATAGATTAATATGTTTATGCAGCATTAAGAAACATAAATCAGTTATTCGAAGTTTAGAATGGTCATACGGTAACAATAAAAACACACGTTATTTTAAAGAATTTGGAAACTTATCCTATTGAAATTCTAATAAAACTTTCTCGACTAAAATCTAGGTAACGAAATTTTATTATTTTCTAGTGGTGCAAATGAAGAATTGAGATGTTGGAAAGTGGAAATAAGTCTTGCTAAAGTCCAATTGACAAATAATCAATGTAGGTGATTTTAATAATAAACTAAAAATAAAATTAAACCAATAAAAAATTATATTTATTTTTTTCTATTGCTATTATGAAAATAAAAGATAAAATGCCCTTGGTAAATATTAATTGCTTAGAATGGTCAAGTTGCCCTAGTGTTAGGTAATATATTAACCAGTTGGTTTTATTGATTTTTATTTTTTAACTTAAACAAATACTTGAAATAAAATCTTTAATAATGTCTCTATAATAATAATGGTAATTTCAATTGGTATACTTGTCTTTATAAGTCAAATTCCAGAGACAAGAATAATGGATACAACTGTTTATTCAATCGCTCCAAACCAAGGTTTACATTTGATAATAGTTGTATATTCAGATTCTGTATTAAGAGTAAGTTAACAATATAAATTTTTTGGTTGATTATAAATTTATTTATTTATATGATTTTATTATTTAGTCCTGGTTATTTGATGAAGTTAAAAAGAAATTCGCTCTAATTGGTGAAGCAAACTTTCACTTTAAATGTGTATTACAAGTTAAACACTTAATTATTAAAGGTAAAATATTATAAAATTTTTTTGGGAGTATAATCAAAGTTTTATTGATTTAGTTATTTTTTAATTAGATGAAGAAGGCAGTAATGATTTGATTATCGTGATTACTTCAGCAACTGATGGAAGGTAAGTTTGTTATTTAAAAATTATTATTATTATTATTATTACTATGGAAATATATATCACAATTTTTTTTTTTGCAAAAAAGGATTGCTATTTGGGAATTTTCAAAAAAGATTTACAGGTTAGTAAAAATTTAATTTAATTTATTTAAAAATTTATTTATATATACATTTGTTTTATTTTTTCAGTTTTATAGATTCTTATATCAGTAAGAATAATAGTAAAACAACTTTTACTAAAACCACAAAATCAAACCCTACAACAAAATATTCAAAAGATAACGATTTTCAAAACATTGAAGATTTGGGTAAACCTAATTATTATTACCAGGCTCATCAATCTGGAGTGGATTGTTTTGATTTTCATCAATTATCATCTTCATCTTCATCTCTAAAAAATGGCCAAATTATTCGATATATGATAGTTAGTGGTGGTGATGATAATTCTATTATGGTTAAGTACGTTGATTTCTGTTTGATTAAAAATGAAGATAATAAATTGATGATCAAAGAGGTAAATGATGAAGATGATGATTTTGATAAATTTAAAACTCTGAAATTTGACAAAGCACATGCATCATCCATTCAAGGTAAATTTAACATATATACGCATTTATATATATACGTGAAGTCCTAAACTATTTAATAATTACGAATAAATAACATTTCTCAGGTATTTACATTATGAGCAATACAAAAATCCTTAGCACTTCTTTGGATCAAAGGGTAAGTATATGGGAAATTTGTCATTCAAATCAACATCAACACCAACAACAACAGAAAGGAAAACATAAAGAACAACAAGGACCATCATTTAAATTAATTAATACTGAATTTGTAAATGTTTGCGATTCATCATCAATGGATGTATTAAATTATAATGAGAGTGAAAATTTTATTTCTATTGTTGGAATTGGCTTAGAAATTTTTAAAATAAGAAAATAAAGCTATTTAATAATAGTAAATTTATACAATAATTTATTACTATATGTAATCTTTAATCGATATATCTCCCTATATGTAATTGAATTAGTTTCCAATGTTGGTAAGATGTCGATATTTTTATAGCCTTCTATGACATCCAAAAGTTCTTGATCGATTTGAATATTATTGAAATTAAATTCGTCTTGTCTCATAGTATACAAATATATTCTTTTTTAAAAAACCATGCACCCATGAAATCAGAATAATATGTTATGTAAAAACCAGACTTTCTCATATGATTTATTTATATTTTTATTGTTATTATTTATTCTATAATTTAATTTAATCAACATCAATGATTAATTTTCTAACTTACTGATTAAGAATTTTGGTTGAACTTCTTGGAGTAGCTTGCCCAAATGGTTTTCCAAAGGAGTCCTGGATATATCCTATCTATTGAATGGACACAACCTTAAAAAATTGACTGGATAATGACCTGCCAAGACTCGAAATTCTGGGAATAAATCTTCTTCTCATGACTAATCAAATATAATCCTTCAAGTCGTTTGCATGACATCAATATTTGTTTTATAACTTCATGATCAGTATCAAGAATTTAAGTTACAAATTTTGAAACTATCATTTTATTAAACTGTGCCAATTTTTCCGATCATTTGGCTAGAATCCATATAAATCAAGAATTTCAATTTTCGTGCAAAAATTTACTATAGAAGGTAATTCACTTCCAAGTCCTTTGAAAGTAGCTGATGTACAGTCCCTGGCGAAAGTAATGGCGGTACAATGAAACATTATTTTTGCTAAGTTTTTATTAAGTAAATCGATCTTTTTATATTAAATAAAGTTGTTCACAATGAAA